TTTCATTGTTCTTTCAGGGAGGTTGTCTTTTGGAGGGTGCAGGGGAAGCTGGGAGATATTTTCCATTGATCCTGATCTTTACTGCCTTAATTTGAAACCTTTAAAAACTGAAGCTTTAAAAAAAATCTCAATGTTTGAGTGATAGCTAATCAGAAACTGTTATCTCATTACTGTCACTTAATTTATAACCCACTTCTGAAAGATGAAAGAAGCAGTTCAAACAATTAGAAGGCCATAACTCAAGGATTCTTTTATTTTATTAATTTACTTTTATGGCCACCCATCTCCTCTTTGTTACTGCATAACACGTGATGGCTCTTTGTCAAGATGAGCTGTAGGTAACCAGCAAGAAATGACCAATCACTTAATTGAAATTCATGAAAGTCTGGAAGAACAGAAAGCATTTAATAGTGGTTTTTTTTTTCCCTGGCAGATTGGGTAGAAAACATCCAGAGCTTCAGAAAATATTATTGTCATAAAATGCTCTGAAGTGCACTTCATACAGTACATAAAATAATAATTTCACGTACAACTAAAACATTCCTGGCAACCCTATTGATATGTGAAGGAGATTTACTAGTTCTGTAACCAATCTTCAGTACACAACAGACAGAAAAATATGTGGAAGGGTCTTAGATGAATAGCTCCCTAATTCACAGGAGTATTAGAAAAGAAGGAGGCAAACACAATCAGATTTGCAAGATTCTGTAGGTATAGCCCAGCTCAATAAAAGTGGCTTTGGGAATTCCTGTGGAGTTGGTTTCCTGGTAAGGTCCACCTGGTAGGGTTGACATTATGTGCGCTCCCAGAAATGTATGGAATGACCATAATAAAGGATGTTCAACTGACAGTTCTCACCTATTCTCACATTTTATATTTGTGGTTCTTCTTTGTTTAATAAATAATATGACTGTTAATTGTGATCTAATAATTTTATGAACTTCCACGTATATTCCAACCCAAAACTCAGACTTTTTTCAGCATAAATATATGATGTGCCAGTAGAATAATCCCAGCAGAGCTACATTATCGAAAACATCTCTATGGCTCTCTACGCTCAGCAGTCAGAGGCCCTGTGGAACAGCCAATAGCCAATCTTAATTAGTAAATCTTTTTTTTAACTGTCCCGAATTCTTCTATTTTGAGTAAATATATAAATATCAAAATTAAATATCAGCTTATAAATGTTAAAAATAATCTTACTTTCATCTCATAAACAGAGGGATAGAATCAAGATCACATGAAGTGTTAATACCACTTTATAATGCCTTGGTAAGGCCACACTTGGAATACTGCATTCAGTTTTGGTCGCCATGATGTAAAAAGTATGTGGAGACTCTAGAAAGAGTGCAAAGAAGAGCAACAAAGATGATTAGGGGACTGGAGGCTAAAACATATGAAGAACAGTTGCAGGAACTGGGTATGTCTAATTTAATGAAAAGAAGGACTGGGGAGACATGATAGCAGTCTTCCAATATCTCAGGGGATGCCACAAAGAAGAGGGAGTCAAGCTATTCTCCAAAGCACCTGAGGGCAGGACAAGAATCAATGGGTGGAAACTAATCAAGGAGAGAAGCAACTTAGAACTAAGGAAAAATTTCCTGACAGTTAGAACATTAATCAGTGGAACAACTTGCCTCCAGAAGTTGTGAATGCTCCAACACTGGAAATTTTTAAGAAAATGTTGGAAAACCATTTGTCTGAAGTGGTGTAGGGTTACCTGCCTAAGCAGGGGGTTGGACTAGAAGTCCTCCAAGGTCCCTTCCAACTCTATTCTATTCATCTGAGTAATTCCACTGTTTCAGCCTTTCTTTCCCTACCCACACTTTCTTTGTGCTTGATATATATTATATTATTGTTAGCCCTAATCAAGCCACTGTAGGATGAATGCCTCTTTATTAAAGGCCATGGACTATACAGGTAGTCTTCGATTTACAACAGTTCATTTAGTGACCATTCAAAGTTACAACAGCACTGAAAAAGTGACTTATGACTGTTTTTCACACAACCATTGCAGCATTCCCATCATCATGTGATCAAAATTCAGACACTTGGCAACTGACTCATATTTATGATGGTTGCAGTATTCCAAGGACTACTGTATTCTACCATGCTAACCTAAAGTAGATTGTTAATAGATGTTTTTTTGAGTTTGCAGTGTAGGTTGAAAGAGTGATGCCTGACCCAAACTCACCTAGATGCAACTTCTGCATCTAAGAAAGGTTTAAACTTGCTATTCCTAGTTTGTGTTGTAATGACTACCTACACTGGCTCTAGTATATGTGTATGTATGTAATATGTAATTATTTGTGAAGTTCTTTATGTTCAATATCTGCTGTGAACGAATGTATGTATATTTAGTCTTTTATTCAGCCTTGAGTGAATCTGTTTAATCTGCAAAGCCATACGTGTGAATGCTTATTATTGTTCGAACTAGAAATATTTCAGGTTCTTTGTCCAGGATCTCCTATAATTGGAACAAAAAAAATTCTAGTATAGAATTGCCGTATATTCTTATATACTTTTCCCTATTACTTGTGATTTAGGGATAGGCTGATACCTTTTAGTACAACAGTCATTGCCAGCTTTTCCATTATAAGTGCTTTTTACAGCTTTGTAAGTCAGCAGTAAAATGTACTTGTCCAATTTGAAACTTGGCATGTAACATCTTCGTTTAGAAGCTAACTTTTTCCCCCATCTGAAAATGTTCAGGAAGTAAAGAGATTAGGATGTCTCTTTATTCTCTTTGTCTAAGAGATATTATTTACAGGAAAAATTAGTTTGCTGGTTTTGCTGAGGTCATTGTTATTCTAGATTGAAAAGTAACCATTTCTCTTATGTGGGGGGTTTTGTCCCAACCCTTTCCTTAAGAACTTCCATTGTTTTTATATGCCAATATCTTTGTCTTTTTTCATATCTGAAGTTAAATACCATAACAGTCATTTAATCCTGTTAATAAAATAACACTTGATCTATTCAGTTGGTTAATTTATTGCCATTCAATTAATACTGGTAAGCTCTAATCAAATCAGCTGATAGAATATAATTAAATGCAGCCATGTTTTAAACAATAAAGATGAAAATATCTAAAATAAAAAAAATCCAGAGAGATGTAAAAATAAATGCTATAGACATAGCATTGAAAAAAATATTTCACCTCTCGGCTCTCTAACATTGATATACACGTATGCTTGAAATATGCTTAGCATTAAAAGAATCAATATGCTAGAAATATTAATATGTAGCAAAATATTTATTTTATCTAGAAAAATAACTATAGCTTAGACTTATACACCATTTCATAGTGCTTTGAGGCCCTCTATAAGCATTTTACAGAATCAACATATTACCTCAACAATGTGGGTCCTCATTTTACTGACCTTGGCAAGATGGAAGGATGAGTCAACTTTGAGACTTGAACTCCTGGCAGTTGGCAGAATTAGCTGCAATACTACCTTCTAACCATTGCGCCATCACACAGGCTTCTATCAACTAAATAGTATTATGCAGACTTTCCAATAGGGTTTTGAAAAAGCCAGATCATTAATAACCTACCATCTGATATAGGAACACTGGGAGTAAGAATTCTAATTATTATCTTGGAGTAAGAATTTGAAATACAGAAAGTCCTTCAGTAAATTTTAGGATCAGAATAGTTCATAACATTAGCTGTGAAATCTACTACTACCAGGTTTCATGTAGGAGGAAGAATCAGGCAAGAATTTATGTAAATGAAAAAACAACCTATCCCAAGGCCAATAAAATATTCCCAATAAAAAATAATCATGGAAAAGAAATTCTCCAATATGAGATGCACTGTAGGGGAATAAAATAGATGTCTAAGAAAAGAAACACTATGGAATCTCCTAGGTATTTTCCTTTCTTTTTTTTGGTCTTAAAAATAATTTTAAAAAATAAGCACATAAGAAGGACTTATTTGCCAATGTAAATGGCAGAAGGCCAGATGGTGATTTCATATAGTGATGTTTCAGAAAGCATAGTGATATAATGGTGTTGCTTTAGCCCAAGCAATACTTCTGAATTATATGATTGGCATAAAAAGAGCTAAGAAGCTATTAGGATTTCTTCTTTCAAGGGAACCATCCTTCATATATCAAATTTATCATTAGACTCCTATATTTACCAATGCCATTTTGACAGTTATTGAATAATATATAGGTAGACCTTGACTGTGTGACTACAATGGGACCAGAATCTTGGTCACTGAGCAAAGTGAGATACCAGTCTTTGTTTTCTTTGAGAGCAAAAAACAGATTTCAACTCACGGAAGGATTTCAATTCCCCTTTGTCCATTTCACTTGGAAACTTCCTTCCAGCTTCCCAATTGACTTTTTGGGGAAGCTGGCAAGGAAGACTGCAAATGATGATCACGTGATCACAGGGTTCTTGGCAACATGTTGTAAATTCAGGCCAATTGCCAAACATCCATAATGTAGACATGTGACTGGAGGAGGACAACATTTTATGACAGCTGGAACTGCTTTATGGTTCGTAAAGCATCCTTTCCAAGACCATCATAATTTTGAATTATTATTAAACAACCAATCATAAGTCAAGGACTATATGTGTAACATTAGCTATAACATTTTTTCACATTTTTATTATTTTTTGCTTTGTGATTTGTGAGCAAAATTTCTAAAGAATACATTTAGAATCAGAATGTATTGCCATGTATTTTTCTTCAATGTTAGCAGTCGCATGAAAGAAAATTGCAGCCTTTTTTACAAATGGACCAGTGGCAAGATTAACCAATAATTGAATTTATTAAGACACAAACATTTAATTGTACAGGTAGATACAATGAGAAGACAATCATTATAGTAATTCTGGGTCTCTATATGTACTTAGCTATTCCTGATAAATGGTTTGGACTTTTACTTAACTTTGGTTACTTAACTTTTAATGCAGCTCAATGATGTATTCCACCAATATTGGAAGCAAAACAGAGGTCTGTAGTAATGTTTTTTATTTTTCTACAGGGACCGAAGCAGAGTTTCAATGAATCTATAATAACGGAACCCTGTGTGACTGGGGTAAGTTCTTGCACTTTACTGCATCAATTGTTTCTGACACTATATAATATCAGAATATTTGTTCTAAAAATTTTCAAACAAATTCATTATTTTGAGGAGGAATTTCCTGTTCCAAGTTTGGGGATGTAAATTCTATTTCTCATTCTTTGGTTTGGTAGGTTAACATCCTACTACTTTAGTGATTTCAGCTGTCTTTATGGTCTGATTTTTGAGGTACATCTGTTCAAGTCATTTGAAATAATTTCAATTATTTTTACATGGAGATATCTATTTAGGAGGGGTGGGTGTATTCCTGACAGAATAGCTATTCACCTTCAGCCATGGTAATTATATTTTAATTCTTAAGCAGACTATGATTTTGTAGGTCACATGGTAATTGCCCTTGATCTGTGCAGTGTAATTAGCTTGTAATCGGGAAGAACATGTAATCACATGGCTCTTTGTAAGACCTTTAAACATAACAGATCAGATTTTATGGCTGACAGAATAGTGACCTGAGAATGTAGGATGAATGACAAGAACAGTAAAATATGCTAGGAGGTGCTAATACAAAGTGACAATTGAAGGAAGTTTTTTCTGTCTTGCAGAACGCAATTGGGAAGGAAAGTGTGGCAGGAGGCTCCACCAGTCATATATCTTCTGATCATTCGTCTTCTCTCCGTGTAAGCGTCAGGTCAAGCACACTTCTTTTGCTGTTGGTGATTGCATTCTCATTCTGTTGGTGCCCACTTTCAGAAGAAACCTTGTATCTGCTCTAACAAAAGGACCCATAAAAAGAAAAGAAAGGAAAAGAAAAGAAAAAGAAATTGATCTGTCTATCCTCCATCTTCCTCTGTTGTTGATCGAAAATTACAGTTCTAGGAATTAAGTTGAAACGCTCCGCTAAACAATAGGACTGGATCAATGTTGTTGTCATTATCATCATATTATATCATTACTATTCTTTTCTATTTTCAAGGAAAGGTTCTTAGAAGCTTTGCATATACTAGATGCGACACCCACATTCCAAACAGAGTAGAGTTTTGAACAGGCAGTGTTTGAAAAGAGACAAGTAATTTGCATGTAAACCAGTCAAGGTTTACTTTTCTCTCTTCCTCATTTTATCCCCCACCCCACCCCGTTTTAACCTGGACCAAGAAGAAATAAATCAGACTCTTAAAGTTCTATTTTTTTTGTATTTGTCACCCAGGAATTTTTCCTTTGCCAAACCCATTAAAATGAATGGGATCTACTGTACACCATCATAGGTTTCAGTTATTTCAATGTTACTCAGATAGAATCTGGGGACAAACCCTGGTTTCCAACAACTTGGAAACATTGCCAGAATGGTTAATAATTTAATGGTATGTTTATTCCCGATAGATTGGGACCCAGTTTAGAATGTTTGAAATATATGTATTGAAAGCCTAGATACTGGATGGACTGCATTACAAGATTTTTTTCATTGCTCCCTTTGGAGATAAGACACTGTACAGCAGGCAAAAAAAAACCCTGCATAAATTGCCCCTTAGCAGGTTTGGGCTTTTTAAATTGAAAAACAGTAGGTTGAACATATTTTGAGGTGATTGTGGATCAGGCTTTTGACATGCTATGAACGTCTTCCTGAAAGTTTTTTTTTATATTTAACTTATTCATGTTTGGCTACCAGTATTTTGCTGTTTTAGCATTCTCTTCTATGTTTGTATATGTATGTAGTTTTGCAGTCTAAAATGAGAAGCCATTGTAAATGATAGCAGTATAATACACATATTTTCTTCAAAACTTCTGCAGAAATATAAAATAATATTAAACTTTCTAATGCTATTTTTATTTTTGTGGTTATGCTAATTCAGCCTTAAGAAAGGTATTTAAAAACTACATTAAGAAGAAGCAACTGTTGTAATGCAAAATTTGTTTATCTTTCTGAGGATATATTTTAAAAAAATAGAAACTTGCTTTTGTTAAAGAATTTCAACTTTAGCATTGTTGACCTTCTTTCTGTAATTATAAAGTTTAATTATTTAACTGGTGAATGGGTAAAAAGTATTGAATTTTGATTATTTAAAAAAACACCATATCTATTAATATTTACTCTTAGAGAAAGATAAGTATAATTGTTTGCTTTTAATTTCTTGACCCAATACAGAAAACCGTAAGCACAGGCAGAAGGCTGTATCATGTTTCCATATTTTCAGAGATACATCCAATAAAGATGTGAACACATAGCATTCAACAGATCATAATAGTTTCTTGTATGTGAAATTTCCTACCCACTTATTTTTGAACATGAAAATATTTCAGCTTTGGTAAGCATTTAATCCTCTGGACAGGGGTATGTGCACAAAAAATTACCTTGCACTGGAACCAGATACTAAAGATTGAATCTGATACACTTGTTGCGAAACCAGTTTTAAGAATTGATCAATGCTGCCTAAAATCCCAATAATACTGATCCAGGTGTTCTCAACTTTCCAGGTGGGCACTATACGCATGCACACAAAAACACACATTCTCCATAACCAAGTATTATTTCATCTGGAAAAATTATTCCTGACTTGGTATATATTTTTTTAATATGTGCCATTTAATATGTACCATTTTCCTATTAAAACATATGTGACTATGGCAATATATAACTTTATGTATGCCATGTTCATGTATGTATTGAAAAATGGAGCTTCTTGTGGTTCTTTCTGACATTTGTTGAAGGCATTCCATATTATGTTAAATCATTTTCCCTTGTTTAACACAATCAAGATGTTATATAATGTCAACTTCTTATAATTTGAAAGCAACAGATAGACAAGGATAGAATAGACCTGCTTCCATTATCTTGCACAATGTATGGAAGTAAAGTCTGATATCATAGATGCAAAAATACAATCAGGATAATAAATGGTTTGCATCTAAATGATATAATTTGAATTGTACAGGACTGTGCAGTTGCAACCAAGTCTATCATTTTCTTTTTTCTTTTCAGTTTAAATTGGTGAGAAATGGGAAGTAAGATCAGAATCTTTATTGTTTACTTTAAAGGGTTCTATTTGAAATAGATTCAATTATTTTGAGCTACGGTCTTGTCCCTGGTTGATCTGTCAAAGATAAGAGGATTTTATTCGAATTCTAAAATAAAATACTCAAACTTCAGGTATCAAATAGAAACAACTTGTTTTAATAAACTGATAGCTTGGCAGCTTTTACTGAAAAAGTAATGGCTATTGAGCAGTAATGCTTAGCTCTTATTTAATGAAGACTGGCAGAAGTCTATGTAAGACAAAATCCATTATTTAAATTTAATTCCAAAGAATTATAGAATGTAAAGATTGGAAGGGATTTCTACCCAACTCCCATCCAATACAGGGAAACACTATACTGTAGCATTATTACAGAGAGCTATCCAGCATCTCTTTAAATGTCTTCAGCAAAGGAAAACTTCTCAAGATAGTCTGTTCTATTCTTGAAGAGTTCATACCATTGGGAAATGTTTACTGATGTCCAACTGAAATCTAGGTCCTTGTACTTTAAGTCCATTGTCCTTTTTTATGAAAAGTTACGGCCTGCCCTGTTTTCTACTCAAAAAGCCTTAATATATATGAAGACAGCTAACTATACTTCCTTTTCCAGGCTAAATATTCCCATTGCATCCAAACTTACCTCATAAGTTTTTTCCTTCACTAAGTCTTGGTTGCTCTGCTTTGGATATGCATCAGTTTAATGTCCTAAAATGTGGTGCCTGATGCTTATGATGCTTATGTAGTATTGACATTCCAGTTTGCTCCAGATGTGCAACCTATGGCTGCATTTGCTTTTTCTTTTTCCCTTACATTTCTTTCCACTGTTAGCTCCTGGTCATCTTGTGATCTACAAGACATCCATATGCTTTTTGCATGTAGTTCTATCCAGTACGTTACTCACATCTTGTCCCTTTGATTTTTCCTACCCAAATGTACTACTTTTTATTGTTTTATTGTACAACTGTTTTTTCTGTGCAATATTCTCATTTTTATAGATCCTCCTGAATTTTAATTCTATATTTAAAAGGTTTTATATCCTCCTGTATATGTGCATAGCATATCTGTACTGTGATTGAATTTATCAATTCCTTGTTATATTTACAGTTTAATTTTATCGCATAGTCAAGTTAGAATTATGCAAAGGTGAGCATCCTATGACTAAGATGTGATTATTAATTTATTTTTTTCTTGTTCTTAAGAAATTCCCCAGCTGTTCCAAGCCAACAATTTTTTAAAAAGACATGACACTTCATTGTGAGATCCAAATAAAGATTTTTTTTAATGAACAAGGTCTAGTCAAAGGTTTAAATTTGGCTATTAGAATCTTTAACACTTTATATGACTTTGTATTATTTAAGTAGCACTAAATATATAAATGATTTGTATTTATTAAAATTACATAAGTTCTAATCAAAACCAGAGAATTATTTTCTACTTAAGTGTGCATCCAGAAATCCACCTTATTCATTAATTAACAATCAGAAAATCATCTGTGTCATTTTTTTAGTATAAAGTTCAGGGAATTTTAGACTATTATAGATTAGTAATTTTAACCCTTTTGCTCCCTATAATTCTTAATTTGGACAAAATCAAATTAGGTTTAGGTTTGTCATTAACATTGCCAAAGACATGAAATAAATGCTAACTTTTAAAAATTAATTTGTAGGATAGGTATGAAAGGCCCAATCCAGATCAGAGCCCTCTATTATATAATTAAGTGATAATGTGGATTAGATCCTCTGCTTTGTATGTAGAGGAATAAGTTTTAAAAGAGCTGCTTTTACTTAGACCAAAGAATTGGTTCATATATTTCTCTTTGGGGAAGGAAGGAAGGAAGGAAGGAAGGAAGGAAGGAAGGAAGGAAGGAAAGGGAAAGAAAAAAGAAAAGAAAGAAATAAAGAAGGGGAGGAAGAAAGAGGGAGAAAGAAAGGAAGGAAGACACTTGGAAATAAAATTGCAGCTCATATGTAGAAACGTGTATTGAATGATGTAAAAATTCAGCTGTGATAATCATCATCTTGAATACAACCAATCCCAGCTTTCTTCTTTTAAAAAAATGACTTCTTCTATTAGAGTCAACAACGCTTAACAGAAAAATGGCAGATAGAGCTTTCATTCACTCTCCATTGTGCATCCTGGACCTACTTTCTCCATATTTTGGATCTTGGCCAGTATTTATATTGCTTGTTTTACTTGTGTGATTCTCTGTAATTCAAATTGAAGACTATTGATCTCATGTTTTAATTGACCTTCGATTTTAAAAGCATCATAAAATTCTTAAGTAGTTGTTTCACTAATAAATCCCTATGTATTAAAATCAAATATAGGAGTTGCTAGGTGTCAGGCAGCATATAAATTTAATAAATTATTATTTTTCAGAAACAATGTTTCTGTAACCATTCTGTAACCAACTTACAAACCCTGTAAGTTTATATTATTTCTATTTCCTTCAGTACTGACAGTTAGCAGTTTTCTACAGTATATTCTCATGTAGCTGGAGATAGGATTGCATCTTAAATTGCTAGTAAAACAAGCAAACAGGAAAAAAAAATTAGGTTTTAAGCTATTATCTTTGGATAAATGCAGAGCTTTTTTAAAAGAAAATAATATGGCATTGACAATGTCACTTAGAGCATTGACTTTGTCAACAGAATCACTAGTTTGAAGTATGTTTTTCTGATGTTTCTTTGCCCATTTCTGCCTACTCCAACTGCATGTTAAGTGCTAGGCAATCCAATTTTTTTTTCCCTTGAGTTCTCATTGTGCAGCATGAATTTCCAGATTTTAAGTTACTGTGAAGTTAGGATATGTCAGAAATCTCCTCTTTCATTGCAAAATCCCATTTTGTGGAAGGGGAATGCAACAGCAGATTCCTCACTTCAAACATCTAAAGCTCTACATCTTAAAAGATCTTGGTTATATTTTCAACCAGTTATGAAATAGAATACATCAAATTCATCCAAAAACTTGAAATATATTTCTTTACTTTACAATGCCTCACATCTTAGCTATTTCGTATTACCTGTTGTGAATATATTTTTAGGGCAAGCAATTTTAAACAATTTAGTATGTAGATGCTCAGGGATCTGTTTTAAAGGGCAAGATCCTACTCCAGAATATATGTGGGAATACCTTGAATCCGGTATGTTTTTTCCAGAGATCATTGGCAGGGAACTCAGAAAAGGGTATGGTTACTTTAGGCCTTTTCAGGGGCTGCTCTCTGTGTGTCTACCCATGCTGCATTTATGTTTTGCCCTTCAAAACTGGTTTTCTGCACAACCCTATTAGTTAGTTTCTGATAAGACTGGAGTCTAGCTTTCAGCAATCATTATCTTTCCTCTTGCATTATGCATTTCTCAGATTCCAAGCAACGTATTCCAGCCCTCCATTTTCTTTAACATCACCTCAAATAAATTTGCTTGTGATGAACGTGGCAGAAAATTAATCCAGCTGACTGTGAAGGATTTCTCATCTTTAAATATTTGCTTTCACTTACCAGCTCGCTTCCTTCTATGACATTTCAATTAGTGGCCATTCAAATACGTTCTGACTTCAGAAGGTCATTATTGTTTTGTTCTTAACTGGATTCGGCTTCTTTAAAATCACTACTGTATTTTTCCCCATCTCATTTCCTACATATTTATTGGTTTTTATGCAACAGAAATCTAATCTTGCTGTAACCTATTAAAATATTATTAAAGCTTCCCTGATCAAGGCTGTTGCTATTGTTTGCCTGAAAAAAAGTTATTTACTATTTTACTTTATCCCAGGTTGATCATCTGAAATCAAAGTCTAGGTTTATAATGAGAAATATTTCTTGTAATACTTAAAGTTGGTTTCTGTTAGAACCCTGATTACAATATAATAATTAGATCAACCCAGTCTATGTTTCAGAAAATGATTGTCCAATGGAAAAAGGAAATCTATGGAAGCATTTTTTCCCCATCATTCAGAATTTGTAGGTCTTTCATATCTTTTCTTTTGTATTGCCAGATACAATTGGCATTTGGATCTTTGCCTGATATAAGTAAGGTTTTACTCTTTTTCAAAATTGATTCAAATAGGAGAGAAAAGTAATTATTTTGAAATTTTATAAATCTCCTGCTCTTTCCTCCCAAAAGGTTTTTGTGACTATACCAGCTGAAGTCTCTATCTTTCTTCTGCGGGAGGCCAATAGAGAAGGTGGTTTTTTGTCATGCAACCATTTAGAATTATATATTGCCTCAAAATAGCAGCCAAATTTCCATGAGTACAAATGGGATTTTTTTTTCCTATCCAGCTTTGCCTTATTTTAATGGCTTTAAGTAACTGCATTACCCCTTTGCTACTGCTTCCTAATCTGTCAAACAGGGAATATCCTATGGCCTGATGAAAAATTGGGTCATGTACTTATATATGATTGGTTTCTTAAAACCCTTCCCACCCTGAAGGACAATCTAATTTCCTTTCTTGATGATGATGGATCTATGTACTATCTTAAACTTCCACTGAAAATATTTAATCAAGGTGCATCCTGAAGAAGTGGTTTGATGATGAAGGATATCCAAAGCTTGTGGGTATTTCTGTCTATTAGGCTGACTTATAAACAGATGTCGGCAATTACTATTGCCTATCCAATATGCCTGTTTTAGCAGTATTTGTGGTTTTGCTTGTAATGATGAGTTTCAGGATTTTTCTTTCACAAACTACAGGACCATGGGGAAACAAATATTGGTTCACAGGGACTGTGATAATGCTGCCGCTCCAATTTCTATCCAGTAGCAGTAAATCAAATGTTGGAGGCAATGATCTGTTTAAAAAACATTGTGCGTTCATGGAATATATGGCAAGGGAGACTATATATCGAACAGATGATTGAAACTGAATGAGTGTATCACTGCAAAACTAGATCATGAGAAACAATAATTGTGAGTACGACAATTGGGGACAACATTCATTGAGACTCATCAGTCACATTCCAATATATATATTTAGGACTGAAGACCCAATATAATGGTATTGGTTGTCATTTCACCCAAATATACCTCAAAGTCTAGTTGAATGTAGTTAGAAGGTAGGGCATTCTCCTTCATTTTAAATTAGAATTGGAATCTAATCTATAATTTGATTCTCCTTATTGACGAAATACAAGTAATCCTCAGATAATAGAAACAGGCATTGCCTTGCAATTTGATTTCTCTGCATTTTGGTATGTGGGCCATTCACCCATGCAAGTATGTCACTGTCCTTTTCTGCATGATCAAACATGGCAGCCACCATTTTTCATTTACCTAAGCCACAGGTTATGTAACCTAGGAATCACTTATAGCAAATTTTCTATATCAGGAAAGGATTAAACCACAATAGAAGCATCTTCTCATTCTTCCTTGTCTTCCTCATGCTTATGAATTTCCCACTGCACCTGATGAATTAAATGGGCAGAAAGGTCGGCAGTTCGGCGGTTCAAATCCCTAGTATAGGTCTCCTGCATGAGCAGGGGGTTGGACTAGATGACCTCCAAGGTCCCTTCCAACTCTGTTACTGTTAAACTTGATCTAACACAGCAGGCACTTACGTTGTATGCTTCTATTCTAAGATGATTCTCTTGGGCTTTTTTCCGTTTAACAATTTCAATACCCAAACAATTCATACATTTCAAACACGGTGACTAATCAAAAAGAAAAAGCAACATATCAAACAGATTTCTACACTAAATGTAGATGCATGAAAGGGTGAGTAGTAGAAGATTGTATCTAGTGTACAGATAGTAAGTTCTTTCAGCTTTGACTAATTTCCTATGTGTGTTGTGGAAATCAGATGGTTCTGATTCTAATGATGTTTTCAGACAAAAGCTTGTAGTGCTGTCCAATAGTCTCATCCAACTATTCCAATTTCCCTACTGTGATAAACAAAAAGTGGGTGATGTATTCCAAAACATGAGTAGGGTGTATTACATGCAGAGCTATGACGTCTTAGTAAAATTCCATAGGCAAGGCACAGCAAGCCAAATTACATTTCTTCTTGGAAATATATTTGATGTTGTTGTTCCAGGATCCAAAAATTTATCAGAATAGAAGTCTTTACCTATTTTGTCTGTTGAATGAGTGGCATATACATTATTTTAATTAAATATTCAAGACTGTTTATATGTTCAGCCCATAACACTCAAAGATTTAAAGCAACATTAATGCAGAGATCCAGATTCAAAGGGTAAAATACATTAGAGTATGTATGAGCACTGTCACGAGCACTTAAACCAAACATGCATTTTCTTGGGCTCACATGGCAGCTGCAGTTGTTATACCTCTAAATTGTATGATATTGTTTACATCATATGTACAAATAGTCCCACAAGAAGCCTAATTCATCTGTACAGAATACTGCAATATTTAAGAGTAATTTGTTTACCAATGAAGTTACATTTTCATCTAGGATATTGAAATAAGTGACTTTCCCCATATCAAAAATAATTGTCTAAATGTTATGCTTTGTCTAAGCTATATGTAAAAAGAATGCAAAAAATAATAAAATATTCAATTTCTAAACTACTCTTCACAAATGTTTCTGTTTTTAGTATTTGAGGATCAGACAGAAGGTAAATACAGTGGTAAGGATACAAAAAGTGTATGATAGTTACTTTTTTCTCATTCTGATTGTTTACATTTTTCCTTTAATATTCGTACACCTGTCTATGAAGCAAGGAACTTCAATATTTTTTGTGAATTAATATTCCTGCCTTACTAGACAGAGAGTCTGCTAGTAATCTCTGTATATTCTTTTTTTCCCCCCACCCTTACAATATTGCTCAGAAGGAGGCCCAAATGCCTTCAGAGATTTCCTGGAAGATCTAGGAAAGCACTGACTGTCTACTGGGATTTCTTTGAAACCATATGCCTCAAGTTAAAGTGAAAGTATTAGTTTTGGTTAATCTTACTCAAGTTGGGGAAAGGGCCTGTTTCCTTTGCCCAGGAATATATAAACATTTGTGTTATTTTTGTATAATTCAAGTTGTCATGAACTGTCACAGAAAATATAATACATAGTTTGTATTAAATAACACTATATTCTATTAAACTATTATAGGGATGATTTGGAGTAAGGAGTAAAATCAAAGATAGCTTTTGATTACAGATGATGAAAATACATTGAATAACCTCTAGAATATAAGGGCATTTTTTTCTAGATATGGTTTGAAAGACAAATTTGTCTTAGTTTCCAGTTGAAGGCAGTCTAAAAGTGCATCTTTTACTATTCTGATGTAAATTATATGTATGTTGTCCTACAAAATTCTGTGCCCTCCCTTCTTGCAGTTCAAAATTTGTCAGGTATCTCAATTGTTCTGCTGGGTACAAAGGTGTCTGCAGGATATGGTTTAAAAAAAGCCAAGATGGTAGCAATACCGATGTGATAGAATCTCCTATTTTTATATGTGAGTCTTCAATCACATCAGCATGGCAGTCAGATTGACTTTTTTGGCTATATCCTGTGGACTCCTTTGGCTGGGTACATTGTTGTTAAGGAACAAATACCATAGTACATTGACTGTTCACACTGACATTAACAAGACTTGAAGTAAGGACTTGGATAGTCCAAATTTTGGAAGTGATTTTGTGATGTTTGATTTTCTTTTCCTGTTGGCATAATGCTTGTATGCTATTTAAAAATGTACATATCTGAAAGAAGGAAAAGCCACCAAATGAACGTTGTCTCTTTTTTTATTAAAAATTATAGTAAGAATTATTCAGCTTTGTTGTGTGGTTTGTTTTTTCACAACTATGCAGCAAGACAATGAGAAATAATGTTGTTTATCTGAAAAGATAACACTGATAATCTGGAAAGTTAGCAGGAAGAAACTGTTCATAAACACTGTAGTGTTTTACTGTTCCGCATATGTATCTTGCATTGAGACTTGTGACATAAAGCCGTAGATGAGTTACATTTTAAAGCAAGGCAAAGACGCAGACAGTAGCTGGCACTGCTAATTGGGCAGCATGCCCTTCATATAAAGAATGACCAATGGATATCAGATGGAAATGGTTATGTGAAATGAACAGCACTAACCATCTGCTCCTAATTTTCTTCATTGTTTTCAAATCGGCAGGACAAAAACTGGAGATGATGAAAATAGGAATATGTGAGAAAAACAAAGGAACTTGAAATTAGGGAGCGGGGGAGTACTATGCTTTTAATTTAAAGTGGGGAGGGAAATGTCCTGATAATGTTTTAAGGAAAACAATGTGAAATCTCTGGGACTGAAGCTGAAGTTTCATGCTGAACTTACCTGGGGCTAGGTCTTCTGAATGCAGTAAAATGCACTTCAAAGCAAGCATGTGTAAATGATTTGCATACATCATTGATTTTGATGTCAGTGATACTATTCCACAATATGCCTGCAATTTTTCTGAAGTCAGTGGCAGTTTTCCTTTATTTTCTTAAGATGTTAGTGTTAGATAATAGCATTCCCCAGTGGGCTTCATGTCAATAATTCTGTAAAATTCATAACTCAAACAGTCTGATGTTACCGAATGCAGCAACCATCACCTTTGCAACATATCTTTTGAAAAGAACATTAAGCATATTACATCTGCATGAAAAATAGTTTACAATAGAGCTGCCACTGGCGGGTGAATGCAAAATAATGATCATAAATATCATTGCTTTTGTGGCACCTTTAGGACAAAATAATGTTTTTTAAAAATGTTTTCCTTATGATAGCTCAACTCAACTGCAGTTCTTGAATATGTTCTTATATATTGAATAATAAGAAAAGTGTACTCTCCTTATATATTCAAAGCTTGAACTATATTTATTATTTATTTTGGGGAATTAGTTCTTTTTTAACCTCTCAATTATTTCAATTTTGAAAGGGTAAAACTGCATCTCATATTTATAGAGGGTCAATAAAAATTGCTTTTATTGCTTACTCAAAAATTTTCTCAGAATAAATTCAGAGGTGAGAAACATGGAATGTTGAAGTTGACAAACACTAACAGTAAAAGCTTGTTTTTCATCTCCTCTCCTTTACCAATTATGATCTTTCTTGTTTTCCAGGATTATATCCTTAAAAAATGCTTAACATGTTCAGTTTTAGAATAAGAATTGTACTGTGCTCTTATTAACGGACTGACCATTATTTAGTGATGGAGCATTAGCCTTGTATTCAGAAAGCCCAGCTACAGTCCTCTTGTGAATTTCACCAGTTACAGCTAATGACAAAAAAAAAAAAAACCCCTCTGCTGGAGATCTTATAAAGATACAATCAGTCAGAGTAAGTAGGTCAAACCTTGATGAATTTGGACTCTGCCCTTGAGTAAGGCAGCCCTCAATCCCAAAGTTCCTGTCCATTAAATAGGGATACATATTTCCTTTAAAGCCCAGGGCTATAAACATCAAGACCAGGACAAATTAAAAGCGATACAATTTTAAACTAATTAAGTGTAGTTAATAGACTAATCTGTATATGTTTCATAATATAAAAGAGTTCCAGAGTTGGGGGTGGGGATTTCATCCAATACATTAATGGGTCAATAAAAGAAAGATTCTAGCCTTACCTACTTTTAATTTGATGGAGAGAGAAAATTTGTACTGAAACTTTTTTTAAAAAGGTAAAAACTAACAGAAACTAATCTAAAGGAAGAAAAAAAAGAAAGCCAAAAAAAAAAGAAAGAAAAGAAAGCAAAATGCAAGAAAATAAACATTGAAGAAAATTTTTAAAAAGATATAAAGAAGTGGTTTCTGACATTCTAAGTACAATTAGATGGGTTTTTTAAAAAGGTGTTCAATATTAAAGAAGAGAATAGCTCTTACAAGATGCTAAGGGAATTTGTTCAATATTCAATTCAGGTGTCCCTGTGCAATGTGTTCTAAAAATCTATTCCTCCTTTAGGGGCAATTTGTTCTACCTGGCTTCAAAAGATAATATCAAATGACCTCTCTTGTTCTTTTTATTTGCCATTCCATTTTCATCTTTAAGTAGCACTAACACTTCTTAGGGTTTTGTTGCAATAATCTCAAAAAGTCCTCTTTACAGTGTGTTCCATGTGGTGAGGGGAAACTGCTTTGTCTTAACTTGGCAAAATAAACTGCAAACCACAATGGTGGCAGTCTGGGTGGTCAAGAGAGACCAAAAGCTACAACTACTAACCAGGTTAATATCAATATATTTTATCTGATAATTTTCAAAACTGTCCTGGTTCTGCTTTTAATGCGCTGACTGTAATTCTTTCTGCATATGTTTTGAGAATTTCTCAAATTTAAACCTATAAAAATAGTTTGATAGTAGTCAGGATCCTCCTGGGTTTTAAATACTACAAGCTACTATATTAACATGAAATACGTAAAGGTCGGGAGGAAAGTAAGTTTATCATTTACCACATCCAGATGTGAAAAGTGCAGGTAGAGTGTTGTATTCTTTGATGTATTCAGTATGGATTTTTGGTCAGCTTTGCAGCTACTGCCTTCCAGACATGTTGAGCACACAACTGAGAGACTTTTCTTTGGCCATGCTAACTGAGAACTTTGAGAGATGAAGCTTCAGTATATTTGATTAGCACCAGGATGGGAAAGCCAAGATTAGATGGAAAAGCTTCTCAGATTTGTAGTTCAAAGGAATAGAATAGCTCTAGTGTCACTCTAAAAATCAAGAAAGCTATGTATAATATATTTTGGTTTGATGGACTTTAGATAAGATGGACAATCTTTTTTTTAGTCCACTTTTCGTTAATTAGCTCATGTTCACTAAATTGATAATCTATTAAAGTTTACCGAAAGATGTAATCCATTATATTAACTGTGATAATATTCAAAAGGTGACATAAATGTAATATCAGTTTAACATATTCCTCCTCTGAATAATCAGTTAAGTTTCCTGTCACATCAGTGCTTCCCTAGTACATGGTAAATAGTAGCAATACATTTTATCCTTGCATTTACAAACAATGCTAGGAAAATTCTTGGAAGAGTTGGTGTCAGTTAATTGTAGACAATACATAGTTGGATAGTCCTAACAATCTGACTCAATGTAAGTCAGCTTCCTGGAGTCCTAAGAAATATTACTTTCATTATAACTGTTACAAATAGTCCTTTTGTATTTGAATCTTTAGCTACTATTGTACATCATGTTGTGTTTTAAAAAATGTGAGTAGGAAGAGAAGCTGCATGCAGAGTTCTTATATTTTTCACAGTACATATTTGTTATCCTTTTCCCCCCTCTTTACTCAGATATATTAACCTTGCATTTACTATTCAGAGTTATTAATTTCAGTTGACTTCAAGTCTTAAGGTCAAAATCATTAATCAGAGTTTCTATCATTAGCTCAGTTTCTTTTTCTATTAAGAGATTGTGATCACTTACTTTTAATGAGTCATGAAGTTTCTAATCATTTTTTTTTCTTGGTATAAAATACTGAACAGTAATTAGGACAACAAAGTTTGGAGACTTTTCTCTTTACTATAAAAATGCATTTTATGTTGACTAAATAAAAACAGAAAATAACGATGTTAAAAAACCCTATTCATTGCTATCATCTCTATAGGAACTGATAGAGATGATAGCAACAAATACTGATGCTTTCAACAGAGCTAGTTCCGTTATGTAATTGCAGTGTTATGACTTTTTGCTGTTTGTTTTGTATACTGTAAAATCATTCCAAACATAAACTGTTCATGGAGTTGATTTTGATTATGACTGTAGAGGAGAACTGTTTAAAATGTATAATGACCACTTTGCACTGAGACAGAAACAGCAATGCCATTTCCATGCCCAAAAAAGTAATGTCTGCATATATAGCATAGATTCTGTCTTGTTTGCATGGCTTCATATTCATCAGGCAATCAACATCATACACAGTGGTGATTTCACTGGAACTTTCCTGTTCAATTATCTTTTTAATTGTGGGGCATACCCAACTGATAACAAAAAGTATAAACGTGAAATCAGGAGAAGTTAGCATAGGATTTCAAAGGAAAGGAGCATCAGTGGGGGGGAATGGCAATTGCCTGTTGTAACTTTCTCCCAATTTGTATTTAGATCAATATTTGTGCTGAGTCCAATTACCAAGTCACATTTTTTAGGATCATTACACAGGCATTTATTGCCGCATGAGAGCCAAATGAACTGAAGAGGACAAATAGTGGAAAGACCTATAATTGAGTCCAGGTGTATTCACGATTATCACTAAAGACATTAGCATTGTTGCAAATGTTTTTTAAAAAATTACCAGCTTGACAAATCAGGGAATAGAAACTATATTTCTAAAACCTGGCCTCAAACTATACCTTTTTAATATTATTATTAACTGACATGTTGCTATTTACGACTGGAGAAGTTTGACATTCCCAGAACTACTTGGTAAACTTGCATTTCCTGTTTACATAGTTGTCATGGTATAATAAATTGAAAGGAATATATATTTCATCCATTGGGTTCCATAACATAATGAAAGCCCTTCCAGCATGTTTATCTCACTGAACAGCAGGAATAATGACTCAAATTTTGAGAACTGATCAAAAATTCTTACCCTTGTAATGCATCTGATAGTTTAACCATGGCAAAGAAAAATAAAGCATTTTCGTATTTCAGAACTCACAATGGCTTGTATGAACAGACCTGATGAAATAAAATGTATGTGTTTAGTCGGTGGCAGTCTCATGCTTGTAGTACCTTTCTATATAACATAATCATTTCCATATCTCTTAAACATTGAATACATCATTTTGAAGAACTGAATGTCACCCGTGTT